GGGTGTGTGTTGTAGCATCAGTTGCAGCTGCAGGTTTAAGTGTTGCAGTGAATGTGCGGTTCGTCCATTAGCACACACACACACACACACACCGAGTGTCTGAGCGCCCGAGGCTGTGACTGTCCTGTCAGAGACGCTTGCTCATTTATACTTGACGTGATGTTATCCAGAGGGATGAAATTCTGCGTGAAATGAGACATATTCATTGTGACAAGCACCATTATGTGACCAGCTAATGGAGAAGCCCTAATGAGAGCAGAATTAATCTTATTTCTGGCTAAACTGATTTTTTTTTCTCCATTTTTAGACTTTCGGCCAGTATATTCAGCTCATTAGATTAAAGCCTATTTTTTTTTTTTTTTTTTTTACACATCTAAAATATTTTCTGATTTTGAGGCTAATGACATTGATATTTTCATCTCATCTCAATGTGCATTTGTAAATTAACCGAAAATAAATGTATAAATTATCATTTTATTATTATTATCATTTATTATTGTTATTATTATGATTTATTTTAAAGACATTTACTCTTGTATAAAAAGTTTGAAAACTGTATGTTTTAAAGTCGTCATGAAACGGATATTCATCAGAGTGAAACGCTTCTGGAACAAGATCAAATGTAGGGCGGGGCTTGATTTTGTCTATAGGGAGTTGATTGGACGGTGGTTTGCTATTGGTCGATTTAATGTGATTGACAGGTTGTCCCGCCCTCGCGCCAGTAAACACATCATCAGAGAAAAGAAGAGAGGGAGGGAGAAGTTATTTTGATTCAAGATTAAAGGCACATGAATTAAAAAAATTTGCACGGATAAATCATTTATGATAAATGCTGAAATATTCCATTAAAAAACAAGAACTGCCAGTTTTGATTTTATGACTTTAAAAAAAGGTATTTAGACTAAATTTGAGCTGTAAAGTGTCTAAATCTTCTATTTGTTGGAACTAGTTTTAGAATAATTCCTGTGGTTGTAGTTTGCACCATGTAAACAGTGGTTTATGGATATGTGAAGTATTTTGCTTGGCACCTGACTTGTATAAGGATCTTAGTAAGTGCTAATAACTGATGTCTACAGACCCCATGAAACCAGAATTGGACTTTAGTGGATTTAAGCTGTCTGAAGTGTCAGGTCATCTATGCATTTACATCTACGTTTATACGTTTGGTTTTATCTACTAAACCAACTTCGCTGGGAATATAAGCTGATGTGCTTTTTTGTGTGTGCAGGTTTAGTTTTCTTTTTAGGAAAATTGAGCAAAAATATTGGTGACTCATCCTGCACTATACAGATTTTTGTCCAATCAAATGCCCTCTAGACTGAGAATGTCCCTCCCCCAAAACCACACACTAGCAAGTAGTAAATCGTGGTAAAGGGCGATGCAAAACTTCCTGTTTCATTAGGAAATATGTCAACGCAGTAAAACAAAAGTGTGTGTGTGTGAGAGAGATTGGCTGCCTGCTTTGACATCAGCTGTTCAGTCTAATATGACAGTAAGACTTGATACACACTTGAGCTGAGGAGAAAACGGAAAGAATTGGAGATCACCACATCAGATAAACAGGATTAGAAGCGTGAGAACTTTCATTGACAGTAGATTCAGATGGACAGCTTTAATGAGGCGAGTCAGGATTCGAGATCATGACCTCCACTGACTTCACCATGATCGTCTGTCAATGTCTCTCTTGAGTGTTTACACACACACACACACACACACACACACACACACACACACACACACACACACACACACACACACACACACACACACACACACACACACACACACACGCACACACACGCACACACACACAGACCTACATTCTCTAAAGTGTGTGATGTGGAGTATATGTGGAACAGTAACAAAGAGTACCCTAGCATGGTACTTTTGAAAGAAGCCTCTTGTGCTCACCAAAGCTGCATTTATTGAATAAAAAAAGTCATATTGTAAAATATCATTAAAATTCAAAATATCTGTTTGCTTTTTGAATATATTGTAAACTGTAATTTATTCCTGTGATCAAAGCTGTATTTTCAGCATCATTACTCCAGTCTTCAGTGTCACATGATCCTTCAGAAATCACTCTAATATGATGATTTGCTGCTCAAGAAACATTTCTGATTATTATCAATGTTGAAAACAGTTGTGCTGTGGAATATTTTTGTGGAAACCGTGTTTTTTATTGATTTTTTTTTTTTTTTTTAGGACTCTTTAAAAAGAAAGTTCAAAAGAAAGGCATATATTTGATATGGCTATTTTAATGCATCTTTGTTAAATAAAAGTATACATTTATTAAAAAAACTGATAGACCCCAAAAACATTTTTAACTGTAGTGTATGTGTATTAGAACTGTGTGTTTATAGAGTTCTGGCCTTTATGAACAGAGAAACAAATGAGCTGACCCGCTGGTTTGGCTCTCTGAAATCTGATAGATCAGCCCAATGCTAATATTATCAACTGCGTTCTATAACACAGAGAAGAAAGAAAGAAATCTCCGCACTGTTGCTATCACTATCATTATGTATTTTGCATGGATAAGTATAAGGATTTTCTATAATCTATAAGTAGTTTCCTACATGAGGTATTTTCTGTGCAATAGAAGTGATTTTTCTGGTGGGAGTGTAAAAATGCGTCAGTGCACATTGTGCTGCATCAGTCTTGCAAATAAAATTCAATGTTTCGTTGGAGGAATTTAACCATGTTTCATTTTGAGTTTGATTTATGTGCGAGAAATAATTTGTACCATTTATGTTGTATAATCAGATTAATTTGTAATTTTTTTTGCTATTTTCTTTGTGATTTCTAGTGGTCAACTGATCATATTTTTTTTTTTAGCTGCTGCCAAGACCAATATATTGCTGATATAATTTTTTAAATATATATATGCAATGAATATGGAGTGAGAAATGCCTCATTATTTTAACTAGATTTTTTCTTGCTTTAAACATTTCTTATCTAGCTTGCTACTGTTTGGTAATCATTAGACTTTCTGATTGAAATATAGATTAGATATTGTAGATTGAATAAGGCTGATTAATATCAAGATTTATTTGATATGTCAGATCTCTGGTTGCTTTAGTGCTCGATGTTTGGCATCATGATGAATTTTTAAACAAAGGATCAATTGACAGGTCACGGGTGGTACAAAGAACAGTTGCTTAAACCGAGTAAATGGTCTTAAATATGAGCAGATCTGGAGTGTGTGTTATTCTGAATGTGTAGTGTAAGATGGTGCTGCTCCAGTTGTAAATCCTCTTTGCTTGGCCAATATTCAAGTAGTGACTTAAGACCAGATTAAACCCTCTCTCTCTCTCTCTCTCTCTCTCTCTCTCTCTCTCTCTCTCTCTCTCTCTCTCTCTCTCTCTCTCTCTCTCTCACACACACACACACACACACACACACTCTCTCACCTGGCCGTAAGCAGGGCACATCATCTCACCAACCCAGAGCGATGGTTCAGTCATGCAAAGCCCAGTGGAGGAGCACTTGAGTAATTGTACTTTTGTGACTTTAGTTGCTTGGTACTGTAAATCGAGCTTTTTTGGGGGGAATTTGTACTTTACCTGAGCACTACTGAAACTGAATACTTTTGCGTAATTACTTATCAAAGTAAAAAATTATATTTCACTTTACTTATATTAAGTTACTTTTAACCAGAACATATCCAGTGTCTCCACTGATTTCATCAGTTTATTTTTAAAGCTGTGAAAGAGAAATGTTACTTTTTAATTTGAATTATGCAAGAACAATTAAATGCGTAAACATGTTATTTTTGCTTAAGTGTGTGTTCTGCTGGCGGTGGCGATGACCTCGTGGGCAGCGCCGAAATGTAGTGCCGTTGTGCTTCAGGCAACCTGAGTTCGAGTCCCAGCTCGTGGACCTCTCCTGTCCATATATTGTCCTAATAATTAAAGCAAAAAATCTTATGTTTTTTGCAATTTTTTTTGCCTTTTGATTAAAATTTAATATAATTTATTATATATATATATAATATTATTATTATTTATTTATTTATTTATTTTTAGTATTTTTTATTTTTATATTTAGTGTGTGTATTGTGTAAATATATATGCATTTATTTGATCGAAACACCATAAAAACAGTAATGTTGTGAAATATTATTATAATTTAAAATGAATATTTTCAAAGCTGAATTTTCAGCATCATTACTCCAGTCTTCAGAGTCACATGATCCTTCAGAAATCACTCTAATGTTGAAAGCAGTTGTGCAGCTTCATATTTGTGTGGAAACTTATACTTTTTTCTCCACATGATAGAAAGTTCTGAAGAACAGCATTTATTTGAAATATAAATCTTTTATGACATTGTCTTTATCAATTTTTTGTAACATTGTGTCTTTACTGTCACTTTTGATCAGTTTAATGCATCCTTTATGAATAAAAGCATTCATTTCTTTCAAAAGGTAAAAAAATCTGACTGACCCCAATCTTTTTGACTGTATATAGTACTATATAATAATAATAATATAAGAGCAGAAACAGATTGCGGGTGAAAGATGAGAGGAGAGACAGATGGACTGGTAAAGCAGAAGCAGACAGGACTTGATGAGTTAGACTGGTGATGTGGCTGAGCTGCGGCTGAGCTGCGGCGTCACAGTCCGAATGTCACTGATCTGACTGAAGCATGAGCAGCCAATGACATCTCACAGTCCTGCCTGTCAACAGGCCATGTTTATTCTCTGATGCTGCTGGACATGTTGGGAAGTTGTGATTATCTTGTGTTCAAAAGTTTTGATCACTTCAGAAGGATTTTCATTCAAAAATATTATTATGCTTAACATAGCATTAACAGCTGTCATACATTTTAATGTGATAAAAGTAAAACGTCAATGTTTTGCTTAATGTTGCTTAACTTTATATAATAAAAGTAATTGCGAATTAACAAGTATATTATAAAAAATGTATATTGTCCATTTGATGTGTCAATTCGCATTATTCAGATTACTAACAATTTCCTTTTTGTGTTTGCCCCGCCCACAGCTCCCTCCTCCCCCCACTGTGGGCTGGTTGCCATGGAGAGCTCATCGGTAGCATCAGCGTCGTCAGAGGCGGGAAGCACTCGCTCGCAGGAGATCGAGGAGCTGGAGCGCTTCATCGACAGCTACGTGCTCGAGTACCAGGTGCAGGGACTCCTGAGCGACAAGACCGAAACAGAGCAGGATGTGGACAAGATCCAGTCCCACACCTCACAGGTACAACTGACCCCGTCCCATATATATATATATATATATATATATATATATATACACAGTTTACTTATTTGTGACAATATAAACAATCACTCTCTCTCTGTCTTTCTCTGTATATGTCTCTCTCTCTCAGTGGACAGAAGACTGCAGTGATAAGATTGATGGGAGCTGGTCGTCCTCACGGGACAGGGGCTCGTCCAAACCAGTGAGTTTTCGTGTATGTGTGTGTGTGTGTGTGGATGTGTGTGTGTGCATCTGATCCACAACTATTCTGTAACACCCTGTCCACACCCAACACAAGCTGCTCGTTAAAAGTAAACTGCTCTTAATCCCTCTTATTAGAATTGATGAAGCTGTGCAGACACAGTGTTGAATATGTGTAGAATCTAGGGCTGTCAAACTATTACAATTTTTAATCTAATTAATTACATGATGTGCCGATTAATTAATCAAATTAATTGCAAATTAATCACACTTCAAATTTGTCTGAAAAATTACCCCCAAAATATAATTTAGTGAGTTGTTTAGTGAAATGTTTGAAAATGAATCTCTAGGTTTTCATCAAAAGATGTGTTTGTCATCAGAAATGTTGCATTCATTACTTTATAGATATTAATGGATGGGCAAAAAAACCATCAGAAACATCAAACTAGCGTTTCTTTTGGGTTCGAGCTGAACTCTGCAGGAGCAGGATTGGACACCTCTGATGTACAGTAGATTGTCAAAGTGTAGCTAGATGCTAATGTTAATATGAAAACACCAACAGTAGTGTTTCTATCTCTGCTAGCTTGATTACCTTCATATTATTCAGAAATGTGTCAGACTGCAATGTGCAAACAAAACACAAGTGTGCATTGCATACATGTTGCCATAAGAGAAGCTAGCGTATATAGTAAAAAAAAAAAAAAAAAAAAGAGATGGGAATAAAAATATTTTAGTTGATTTACATTGTTTCACAAAAGCTTTGCATTTGATTGTAAAACTTTTGTTTTGCACGCAAAAGTTTTTTGAAAGAATGCTAAACTTTTGCAAACAAAAGCAAATATATTATGTAATTCACCTCCCATAGGCCTTATTTCACAAAATGGCCCCCGAGACTGGAAGTAGGGTAAACTCTTTTCCGGTGAAAGCGCTAGCAGTTACAGTCGGAGGACAAATGCGGAAACTATAAGCGGTTTAGTCCTGTTGCTTACCTTTTTATGGTGTTTATGTCAACCCAAAGAAGAAACAAGCCTATTTATCACTTCACAGCTTTCCGCGTTTTACGGGTTTTCATGGAACAACTGGGGAGAGGTTAAATCACGCCAGACACAGACGGCAAACAGACTTCTGGTCGCGCCGCCGCCCGCTACGATCGCCATTCATTTAAATGGCATGACACTTGATGACTAAGCTCACATTTACCGTTAATATATCGAAAAACAATAAATAAATAAATTGAAATGATGTCTGATTGTAGGCTATGAGTGAAATCTAGTGGCTTTTGTTAAAAAAATCATGTTATTAAGTGTTAGTCCAGGAGATTGCAGCAATCTTCCACTAGATTATGGCTCCTTTTTCATGTTACCATGAATGAAACTAAGAATTGTACATCTTTACAGTGAATTTGACCTCACGTTGCTAGTATGTCTAATAATGAAATTAAGGCAAATAAAAAAATTGTTAGACTAAAAACATGAATGAAGTGATTGATATTACATGTTAAAAAAAAAATCATGTTACAAAATAATATTTAACTGTCTGGGGTCCCCTTATGAAAAGAAAATATTCCCTATATTTGAATTATCAATATATGAAATGGTTTAACAGTACGGTATATTTGAAAACAAACAGAACAATATATGGTGTTAATATATTACAATATATTGAATGAAACATGTCAAGTCACTTTCATATATTTAAAAATGTGAGAATATATTTAGAATATATTTTATATTCAGTAATACACTAAATAATATATACAGGGATTAAAGTTATCCGTCGCTACGACGGACTTCCGTTAATATCAGGTTTCCCCCTGTTTCTTAAATTACCCTTTTCATTATTTTAAGGCCGTAAATATGCTTATATTTCTCAAATAGTGTAATAAATGTCTTAATTTTAGTTCGAATGGGTCGGAAGGACGAGGTGTTCACCCGCTTAGGGAGATGTGATCAAAGCCTGGACTGGAGCAAAAGCCCGTTCCTCTCTGCACAGAAGCGTTCTGTTATCACTCCGCTCCTGATCCACTCCGGGTTTTCCAGTCCCACTCACGGGAAAAACTGCTCCGTGTTCAAACAACTTTAAAAATATTCCAATATGTTAACTTTTCACAAACGTCTGAATTTATAAGACTATGTAACGGTTTGGAAAGTATTTTATACGTTTAATAAATGTCCCAGCTGCCCTTGCTTGCACAAGTAAACAGCAGGCCTGGCTGCACCCAGGTAAAAAGGAAAGAAAGTTACAGAAAACAACTTCTACAAACAATTTTAATTTGCCAACAGTTAATAATAATAAATAAAAGTGCATGACGTGCAAATCGGATAACAATCAAGTGCAATATAAACATGTTTTGTCAGGGCATCAGTCCCGAACCGGCATCAACACTCCATTTCAACATCTGCTTCCTCCTTCACACGCGCCTGGCGTGATTTAACTTCTCCCCGATTGTTCCATGAAAACCCGCAAAACACGAAAAGCTGTGAAGTGATCAATAGGGTTGTTTCTTTTTGGGTTGAAACATAAAAAGGTAAGCAACCGCTTTTAATCTCCGCATTTGTCCTCCGACTGTAACTGCTAGCGCTTTCACCGGAAAAGAGTTTGCCCTACTTCCGGTCTCGGCGGCCATTTTTGTGAAATAGGCCTATTTCATCATCATGTCCTCTTAGGGTCTCTGTTCTGTAGCATGCGAGTCAGTTTCTAGTAATTTTTCTCTTTCATCCCAAGTATTGGTGATAGTTTGAGAATTTTGTTGAGGAAAGGCCTCTTCACTAGCCTAGAAATCTACACGCACCCTAGCGGCAGCAAAGTGTGGTCTAGCACAGCCTTTCTCAAAGTGGGTGCCCCCTGACTTTGTCAGGGGTGCCGCCAAAAAATTACGTAGGCTAAAATATATATATATATATATATTTGAATTTACATAAATACATTTTTCTTCTTTTTAAACATATGAACGTATTAATAAAATTGTAAATTCATTTTAGATAAATATATATATATAAAATTAACCATAAAAATCCGTCTCACAAGACCGAAGCAAGACACACACACAACTTGACGCAACCCATAGCACCGCGTCAACAACACCGACCGCGCGAACGCGCGTCACACAGCAACTGCAGGCTCTGACAAACACACAAACAAACTATACTATACTTCTGCATAACGTGTCTCTTTTTACAACAAAAATGTGAATTCTGCCGGTATTCAGACAGTCCCATGCATACAGATACAGATTCGGCCTACAATCGCCTACGTAGGCGAAATTTGTTTGACATTTCTAATCGTAAACACAGCCATGTCGAAGCCTGCAGTAATGTTTTTCATTGATGTTATGGCAGTCCACTCTGCTTATTGTTTTTCGAGAATCTTGCACTCCTGTTTGTCATTGTGCACGAAACTTCATGCCAATAAATCATCAGAAATGTTGCTGACTTGTGCGCGTCTCAAGCGCACTCTTTACGCTCGTCCTAATGCCTGTTAGTTGTCCGTGGATTTGCCTATATTTGGCGCTGAAAATGGAAACGTCTTTAGACATGGAAAATCGATTTTACAATCGATTCAATGAACGTTTATGTCTCAAAAATCGATCAGGATTTTTTCACAAAAGTGATAGCCCTGTAAAGTTGTTATTATTATTATTGTTATTGTTATTGTTATTTACAGTTCGTATTATGCTCTGTTCATTACTGTTCTGTCTAAATAAACAGGACATTTGCATTTACATTTGGGTTATGCAGTGTTTTTAATTTATATTTTACTCTGGGGTGCCTTTAGATTTTATGCACTTTTGAAAGGTGCCCCGACTGAAAAAAGTTTGAGAAAGGCTGGTCTAGCAACTCTCCGTTGGCTTTTCGAGCTGGAAAAACCAAACTCTGGTCAGGCCAATCACATCGTGTATAGAGTTGGTGGGCGGGCTTAACAATGACGGCAGAGATGTGACGGTTCCGCGTGATTTCCATAGGTGATTTCCCTGCTAACGTTACTTGAAAACAAAGAAGATGCAGCTGGCGAACAGCGGTCTTTTGAATCGGATTTGGCCGCGACTCTGGAGGACTTGGAGTTAAGAGAACGTCACTTAAGTCATTCTTAAAAAAGGAAGATGTATCAGAGTTTTGACGACCTGATACGGCAAAAGTTTAATATATCAACTAGCTCCGCTGGTGGAAAAACGCATGGGACTCACTCATCCACAGCCGTTCGTTGCTCTGGTTGGTTGTAGCGCTATCCTATTGCGTGCCGAGGGATATTGAAAGACAACCGTTTATCCCGCCCCTCTGATTGAGGTATGCCAATTGTGAGTTCCCAGACCTAACATCTTGATGTAGGTCTGGCTTGCCAGGCTACCTCTTCACGCCAAGAACATTAACTATGGCCTTGTCCCAAATGGATCCCTAAGCCCTTGCGATCTTCTTCCTGGTCCATGCTTTTGTGAAATAATGCCACTTTGACCCTTCTGAAACCCTTCTGGCAAATGGGACACCCTATGGTCATGTGGACACACACACGGTGGCCATTGTAAGTCCACAGGAGTGTAAGTGCATATGAAGTGTGCCATTTTGGACGGGGCCTATACCGATGACTACATTAGCGTCCACACCGACACACTATTGCACTGTTTATTATAAGTTTAAACAGTTGTCTCTTTAAATGCTCAGGATCTTTAAAGCAGGATGGATTCTGATTGGCTGTCAGTGTTTTTATCGTTCAATAGTTGGGAAAAAATGGTTCTGAAAGTGATTCCGACGATATCTTTCCCCTGTGCCATTATGGTTCTAGCTGTGGTGTGGACTCTACTATTCTTTTACATTTAAAAACTAAATATCATTTACATTTATTAAACGATATCTTTTTTGCTATCCTTGGTGTGAATGAGCCTTAAAAAGGACTTTTAAAAGTCTTAGTTTTGTTTCTGGACTCTATTAGTTTTCATGCGTCATTATTTTTCTCGTATTCTCCATTGTTGCAGCTCGTCTCTCTCTTCCCAGTCTGTCAGTAACGCTCTGTTTACTTCCTGTCTCTATGAAGCCCCTCCTTCTGAAAAGCACACTGTGCTCTGATTGGTCGGCTCGAGCTTGTGTTGTGATTGGTCGAGCGCTTCGACTGTGTTTGGGAAATGTCCCGCCCCTTACCATAACATGAGTTTTAACACACTACTAACTAACTCAACCAGGCCCCGCCCCTTTATTCTGCGTATGAATTATTTAAATGAGGAATATTGTGACGTGTTTGTTCCCGGAAGAAACTGAAGACTACAATAGAGGCGTTTCAGGGAGTTCAGAAACACTGACACTGATATAGAGAAGAACTCTTTGTAACTTTGCAGAGCTTTTTCATGCTCAAACAGCAACATTACACACTGAAGAAAGTTAAACATGTGAAAAAGCAGAATAATCCCCTTTAAGAGCTGGTCTTCTTCAGTTCTTTCATTCTTTTAACAGGTTTCTGTGCACTTGCGCACATACTGTATAGACTTTCCAGACTGATGCATCACTGGGTTCTGAATGTTCCCTCCATAGTGACACTGGAGCAGACTAAAGCTGTCAGCCATACGGTTAATTCGTGTGTATATTAAATATTAAAGACGATACATGACACACGTGAGAAGGTTAGATGTACTGTGTGTGTGTGTGTGAGAGAGAGAGAGAGAGAGAGAGAGAGAGAGAGAGAGAGAGAGAGAGAGAGAGAGAGAGAGAGAGAGGGCATTGTGAATGACACAGTGCCAGTATTGTACTCTGAGGTCACTGTGATGAGGTCACTGACCCTGTGTGTGAAAGCCCTAAATCCTGTGTCACGTGCTTCGGTTCTGCACATGCTCAGTAGCGTCTGGTGAACTCTTGCTGAATTGAAATCTCATTTGACTTCCTCAACATGCATTGCATGTTGTAATATATATATTTTTTGTATCATTACATTTTTTTTTAGTTCACAAGCTTTGTGTTTGTGGTACACTTGATTTAGTGGCTTTTGATATTTGCTATATAGTTGTTTTCCGAAATTATAAATAGTGTCAGCATTTTCGAGTTTCCAGAGTTAATGTAAAATGTGAGAAAGCGTTTCTCACTGTGGGAACATGTTGCTTATGTTTTATGAGTTGTGCATATTTTTGTTATGCACATAAAATATGAAGAAAAAAATATTTTAGTAAAAAAAAATAATGTTATTTATTTGTTTTATTTCAGCAAATGAAAATATTTTGTTTTTGTTAAAACTGGCAGACCATAATAGTAATATTTCTTATTTAGTTTTTTTTTTTTTGTAATTTGTATATATTTATTTAATAATAATAATTATTATTATTATTATTATAGCAATAATGATATATAATCACAAAGTTTTGGCCAAATGGTACAGTCCTACAAACTAGCACATCAAACTTGGACTTTTTTTTAAATCACAATTTGCAGATTGAAAATGCTTGAAAAGATGTATTTTTTAAATGTATCGTGTAGATGTTGGATGATTAGGTAAATGTATCTGAATGAATCTTCTTCTCTCTCAGGATGATTGGGAGCACAGTAGTAATGGCAGCACCGGCTCTAGACCCAGTTCAGGTTCTCGACCCGGTTCTGGTTCTAGATCAGACAGCAGAGGACGAAACAACCAGTTCAGAGCTCCAGCAAAGGTGAGATTTAACAACACATGCACTGACTTTCTACACTGAATTCTACCTTTTTAAACTTCCACAATGTTTCTGCATTTGGACTGTGTGTGTTTTAGAATGGAAACAAGGACTGTTCTCTGGACATCCTGGGAACGGACATTTGGGCTGCTAACCTGGACTCTCATGGGTACGATTCATACACACACGAGTAATAAATCTAGCCGTGTAAATAATGACACATCATAGCAGGGCTGCACGATAAACTAAAATAAAACCAGAATCGTGATATGTAAAGGCTGCGGTTTAATAAAAAAAAAAATGCACTGTGTGTTCCAAAGTGAAAGTGGCACTGTGTTCATTTACACGTTTTCATTTTATCATTTACACTCATTTATCGAGCGTCTCGGTTCACAGTAAACGCTGCTTCACATGATCTCTGCATCTCTGCTTCTGCTCTGAGATTGAGTGTGTGCATTTAAAAACACAATGCACCTTCTTCCCGTACTCTTCTTCCCGTACTCTACTCTTCTTCCCGTACTCTTCTTCCCGTACTCTACTCTTCTTCCCGTACTCTTCTTCCCGTACTCTACTCTTCTTCCCGTACTCTTCTTCCCGTACTCTACTCTTCTTCCCGTACTCTGATATAGAAATTAAGACACCAATAAATATTTGTATTGTCATTTTACTGTTGTAATGTAAATTTAACCATTGTTATTATTATTCATATTATTATTATTATTATTATATTATTATTTTTCTTAAATATTTTTTTACAGTGAAATATTAGAATAGTAATATTTCATATTTGTATTTAGTAATTTCTATTTATTTATTTATAATAATAATAATAATAATGATTATTATAGCAATATTGATACATAATCTCAAAATTTTTGGCCAAATTGTGCAGTCCTACAAACAAGCACAGCAAGCTTGGAATCTTTTTTGGAATCCCCCCCCCCCCCCCCCCCCCCCCCGTGCATCCCTAATTCATATAGTTTTGCTATAATACATACTATAGTATGACTATAGAAACACACACTAGAAACGCAGTTCATTTACCTCTTTGTTTAGTGAATAGAGCTCAATAAAGAGCATGTCATCAAAATAGTCATGATGCATTTTCTGTAAGCAAAATGAACTTTTTTCTAGTGATTTTAGGGTAGAATATGACCTAGTTCAAGTGTAAATGTATAGTTTCTATAGTCGAGGATTCCCACGGGTGTGTGATTTTGAGTGGTGTGTGTTCACAGAGGCGCTACGTGGGACATGCAGCCGGAGAAACTGGATTTCTCGCAGTTTCACAGGAGGGCGTACAGAGGGACACCGAAACACCTCCCGCACATTGACCGAGAAGGGTGAGAGAGACGCTCCTCTCAATAACACTGACCTGAGATCAGACACATACAGTCTGAAGCGTTTCACATTAACACAGGGCTGCCGGCGGAGCCACAGTCTCACTTATATTTGTTTCTTTTGACATGTAAATCTGCTTGTGAGAGAGTTTTGAATGTTGGTGTACACCGTAGTTTAATGTTCAGTATTGTTGTGCTGTAATGGGGTGTGGCCGTGTGTGTGTGTGGCGCTCTGCTCACTACTGACCTCTGCTGGAGGACGGCTGTCAGCGCCAAATACATGCATTGAGGGAGTTTAACACAGTAATGCCTTCTGTGTCATATTTAATATTCACACATTTCTAAGGCTTCAAAATGATCAACTATCTAAACTGATAGTTTTAGACTTTTTTTTTTTTTTTTTTAGCAAGTAAAATGCCTTTTAATATAATTGTAAAAACGTCCCTTTTGCTGGTTTTATAAAGTAAATGCAAGAATAACTTATTTTGGTAGTCATATTTTAAGGTGAACACTTACTGGACTGATGCAACTTAGCTTTACTTGATTATCCATAGTTTTTTTCTTTTTTTTAATCATGTTAAAATGTTATGAGCTCCAAATTCGCACTATATCATACTATATGAGCCATAAAGGCTAAAATATGATACTCAACAAAAACACATATGCAGACTTTTATCGTATTTTGTCGGGGGAAATTTTTTTTTTCTGCCTATATTATTTAATATGTCAGGCTTTACAGGTTTAAGATGTTCTGGACTAGTTATTTATTTAGTAAGTATGAACTCTTGAAATGTGAAAGTCTTAAAGCCCCAGAAACAATCATTATACATAATAGTTAATTTATTTACTTATTTGATGCTTCTATGTGTTCAAAAATGAAAAACAAAAACAAGTCTACAGAGTCGTTTTGTCATGTGTGTGTTCACAGGATGATAAAGGGCAAATTTGAGAATGATGAAGATGATGATGATGGCATTGACCTGGAAAACATGGAGAAGTTCCTGCCCAGCCTGCCGGTAAGATCCTCTTACTCAAGACGAACTCGAGGATGAGTGTTAATGATCACGGCTGCAGTTCTCTTATTCTGAACTCAGATCACAGTTTAGATCTCATGAGATCTCATGTTTTCTGCTGTGTAGTGTGTGTGTGTGTGTGTGTGTGTGTGTGTGTGTGTGTACAGAAGCTCCCTCTGGTGTCCAGACACTGAAAGCGGTTTTATTTTAACTGATCTGACACTGAAATCTAGTGGTGACGTCACAATACGTGTGTGTGTGTGTGTGTGTGTGTGTGTGTGTGTGTGTGTGTGTGTGTGTGTGTGTGTGTGTGTGTGTGTGTGTGCGCGCGCGTGTGCGTGTGCACAGAAGCTCCCTCTGGTGTCCAGACACTGAAAGCGGTTTTATTTTAACTGATCCGACACTGACATCTAGTGGTGACATCACAATACGTGTGTGTGTGTGTGTGTGTTACTGTAGGATGGTCATTTCTGCACAGTAATGTGTTTACACTGAGAAGGATCTAGTGTTAGTGAGTCTGTCTACTTCAAGCTAAATTGAGTTAGTCTCTCTACATTAAGTGTTTTAATACTGTTCATCTCGAATAGTGTGTGAGATCATGACGTTGCAACAGCAGTTTATACATGTATGAACATGAAATTGCATGATTTCAGTCATTAATTTGGCTAGATGCTAACCTGCACATCAGTACTATCTGCATTTCAATGTTCATATTTTTACGTTAACAATAAATATAGATGTATTTAAAAATAATAATAATAAATATGACAAAAACAAACAGCAAAATTACTAAAAGTTTCAAATTAATATGAGAACAGAAAATAAAACTATAATCGTATGTCAGTGATGGTAAAGTAGTGCTGTAGTTTGTTTCTGCTCGCTGACGCCCTCTAGCGCTGTCATGATGACATCACTAATAAACCACCCTGGAGCAGAGCTTGCTTTCTTTCTTTCTTTCTTTCTTTCTTTCTTTCTTTCTTTCTTTCTTTCTTTCTTTCTTTCTTTCTTTCTTTCTTTCTTTCTTTCTTTCTTTCTTTCTTTCTTTCTTATTCACTCACTCACTGACTCTCTTTCTTTCTTATTCACTCACTTTCTTTCTTACTCACTCACTCACTCACTTTCTTTCTTTCTTTCTTACTTACTTACTTTCTTTCTTACTTACTTATTCACTCACTCTCTTTCTTTCTTTCTTTCTTACTTACTTATTCACTCACTCACTCTCTTTCTTTCTTACTTTCTTTTTCTTTCTTACTTACTTATTCACTCACTCACTCACTCTCTTTCTTTCTTTCTTACTTTCTTTCTTACTTATTCACTCACTCACTCTCTTTCTTTCTTTCTTACTTTCTTTCTTACTTACTCACTTTCTTTCTTACTTACTCACTTTCTTTCTTTCTTTCTTACTTACTTATTCACTCACTCACTCTCTTTCTTTCTTTCTTACTTTCTTTCTTACTTACTCACTTTCTTTCTTTCTTACTTACTCACTTTCTTTCTTTCTTTCTTTCTTACTTACTTATTCACTCACTCACTCACTCTCTTTCTTTCTTTCTTTCTTACTTATTCACTCACTCACTCTCTTTCTTATTTACTCACTCACTCACTTTCTTTCTTACTTACTTATTCACTCACTCTCTTTCTTTCTTTCTTTCTTTCTTTCTTACTTACTTATTCACTCACTCACTCTCTTTCTTTCTTACTTTCTTTTTCTTTCTTACTTACTTATTCACTCACTCACTCTCTTTCTTTCTTTCTTACTTTCTTTCTTACTTATTCACTCACTCACTCTCTTTCTTTCTTTCTTACTTTCTTTCTTACTTACTCACTTTCTTTCTTTCTTACTTACTCACTTTCTTTCTTTCTTTCTTACTTATTCACTCACTCACTCTCTTTCTTTCTTTCTTACTTTCTTTCTTACTTACTCACTTTCTTTCTTTCTTACTTACTCACTTTCTTTCTTTCTTACTTTCTTACTTACTTACTTATTCACTCACTCACTCACTCACTCTCTTTCTTTCTTTCTTACTTTCTTTCTTACTTATTCACTCACTCACTCTCTTTCTTTCTTTCTTACTTTCTTTCTTACTTACTCACTTTCTTTCTTTCTTACTTACTCACTTTCTTTCTTTCTTTCTTTCTTACTTATTCACTCACTCACTCTCTTTCTTTCTTTCTTACTTTCTTTCTTACTTACTCACTTTCTTTCTTTCTTACTTACTCACTTTCTTTCTTTCTTACTTTCTTACTTACTTACTTATTCACTCACTCACTCACTCACTCTCTTTCTTTCTTTCTTACTTTCTTTCTTACTTATTCACTCACTCACTCTCTTTCTTTCTTTCTTACTTTCTTTCTTACTTACTCACTTTCTTTCTTTCTTACTTACTCACTTTCTTTCTTTCTTTCTTACTTACTTATTCACTCACTCACTCTCTTTCTTTCTTTCTTACTTTCTTTCTTACTTACTCACTTTCTTTCTTTCTTACTTACTCACTTTCTTTCTTTCTTTCTTTCTTACTTACTTACTTATTCACTCACTCACTCACTCTCTTTCTTTCTTTCTTTCTTACTTATTCACTCACTCACTCTCTTTCTTATTTACTCACTCACTCACTTTCTTTCTTACTTACTTATTCACTCACTCTCTTTCTTTCTTTCTTTCTTTCTTACTTACTTATTCACTCACTCACTCTCTTTCTTTCTTACTTTCTTTTTCTTTCTTACTTACTTATTCACTCACTCACTCTCTTTCTTTCTTTCTTACTTTCTTTCTTACTTATTCACTCACTCACTCTCTTTCTTTCTTTCTTACTTTCTTTCTTACTTACTCACTTTCTTTCTTTCTTACTTACTCACTTTCTTTCTTTCTTTCTTTCTTACTTATTCACTCACTCACTCTCTTTCTTTCTTTCTTACTTTCTTTCTTACTTACTCACTTTCTTTCTTTCTTACTTACTCACTTTCTTTCTTTCTTACTTACTTACTTATTCACTCACTCACTCACTCACTCTCTTTCTTTCTTTCTTTCTTTCTTTCTTACTTATTCACTCACTCACTCTCTTTCTTTCTTTCTTACTTTCTTTCTTACTTACTCACTTTCTTTCTTTCTTACTTACTCACTTTCTTTCTTTCTTTCTTTCTTACTTATTCACTCACTCACTCTCTTTCTTTCTTTCTTACTTTCTTTCTTACTTACTCACTTTCTTTCTTTCTTACTTACTCACTTTCTTTCTTTCTTTCTTTCTTACTTACTTACTTATTCACTCACTCACTCACTCACTCTCTTTCTTTCTTTCTTTCTTTCTTACTTATTCACTCACTCACTCTCTTTCTTATTTACTCACTCACTCACTTTCTTACTTTCTTTCTTACTTACTCACTTTATTTCTTTCTTACTTATTCACTCACTCTCTTTCTTTCTTTCTTTCTTTCTTACTTATTCACTCACTCACTCTCTTTCTTTCTTATTTACTCACTCACTTTCTTACTTACTTTCTTACTTACTCACTTTATTTCTTTCTTACTTTCTTTCTTTCTTTCTTACTTATTCACTCACTCACTCTCTTTCTTACTTTCTTTCTTACTCGCTTTATTTCTTTCTTACTTACTTTCTTTCTTTCTTACTCACTTTATTTCTTTCTTACTTACTTTCTTTCTTTCTTTCTTACTTATTCACTCACTCACTCACTCACTCACTCTCTCTTTCTTACTCACTCACTCACTCACTCACTCACTCACTCACTCACTCACTCACTCACTCACTCACTCACTCACTCACTCTCTCTTTCTTACTTATTCACTCACTCACTCACTCACTCACTCACTCACTCACTCACTCACTCACTCACTCACTCACCCTCTCTTTCTTACTTACTTACTCACTCACTCACTCACTCACTCACTCACCCTCTCTTTCTTACTTACTCACACTCTTTCTTTCTTTCTTACTCACTCACTCACCCTCTCTTTCTTTCTTACTCACACTCTTTCTTTCTTACTCACTCACTCACTCACTCACTCACTCACTCACTCACTCACTCACCCTCTCTTTCTTACTTACTTACTCACACTCTTTCTGTCAGGTCCATTAAGTCAAGAACACACAGACAAAATAATTAAGAATTATTTGAATAGATTGCAAACAGGTTGATGTTCCTGAATTGAAATTTGGCGGTATGGCTCTGTTCAGGGAGTCCTCTGACCTTTCATGAGCACCATGAAATAGCAGAGAGTCAGAGGACAGCAGCAGCAGCATTAGGGAACGCTCACACAGTTTTAGACTGTGAGAGCTAAAATATCCCCCTGTGAACAGAGCAGCAACATGACATAGCAAATGCCACGTTATGCATAAGGAGGAGCTGGGGAGGTGGCGGGCAGCAGAAGCGAGCAGCGAGCCAGCAGAAGCGAGCAGCGAGCTAGCAGAGCGAGCAGCAAGCATGTATGAGCAAGGTGAATGAGCTTAAAATAAGGCGCCTTGTTTGAGCTTGGCCATTGAACAGCGAGGGGAGTTAACCAGCTAATGCGGCTCAGCTGGAGCAGATCAGCTGACGGGACAGTGTTGATAGCAAATAGCATAAGCAGCAGCTTGACTACCTGGCCTGCCAGAACTGACGCTGACGCTCGATTTCTGTCAGGTCCATTAAGTCAAGAACACACAGACAAAATAATTAAGAATTATTTGAATAGATTGCAAACAGGTTGATGTTCCTGAATTGAAATTTGGCGGTATGGCTCTGTTCAGGGAGTCCTCTGACCTTTCATGAGCACCATGAAATAGCAGAGAGTCAGAGGACAGCAGCAGCAGCATTAGGGAACGCTCACACAGTTTTAGACTGTGAGAGCTAAAATATCCCCCCAAACAAAACCACACCTGGCAATCCTCTGTGATACAGAGGATGATTATTTGACCACACGAGCTATTCCCCCCAAAACAAAATTGAGTGTCTCGAACGGTGTCGACTGAGCCGCCCTAATTTAGCGATTTATAATAGTAAAAATATTGA